ATCAATGGATTAATAAATAACTCAAGTGTTAAATTAATTAAAGAATTAAAAATTGACATTGACATCGAGAAAGAAATTAAAAACCTTGTAATAAAAACATGATGGATGTCATGGAATACTGCGGAGATCACAACCAAACATACTCCGTAGAGCTACTAGAAGAAGAAGACGAAGGGACGGGATTAGTCTCCCCTGAGGCAGGAACAATAGAAGCTATTTCTATTAATACTTAATTAATTGCTTTTTATTTTTTTTTTTAATTTTTAATATTTAAAACAACAAAAAATTAAAACACTAATAATAGAACTAAAGTTTATTTGTTGAACATCTTAAAATTATCAAAAAATAAATGAAAGTATTAAAATACATATTCAACATTTTATTAATGATTTGTGGGGTCTGTTTTGTTGCTTTGAGTGGATATTATATTTATGAACTTTCATTTTCCATTCGAGAAGGGGAACAAATCTTTAATCTTATTGTTAATGCATTAGCAGTTTTAGTACTTAATTTCTTAATGATTACAATGTGGCTTGCATGTATCTTTTCAAATCGAAAAATGTTTCTTAATGTTTGTCTGATTTCTTTTCAATAATTCGTTTCATCGGAAATATTTTTTTTATTTCTTATGAAAAAGATGATTATTTTATTTTAAATAGAAAAGGACACTTATATTTAAAGGTGTTTATCATATCAGGAACTTCTGCTGTGGTTACGATTATTCAATTTGCTCTTAGCATTACTTTAAAATCAAGTTGTAATAATGATAATAATTATGTTGGTTATCAAGCTTTTTGTGATACCTTTGCCAATTTCTCTTGGATGGCTCCAGTCATTATTACTTTTGTATTGGATGTATTAACTGCTATTTTTTCAATTATCCGTTTCGCTTTCTACAGAAAGTGGGAGTGGGACTAATTCCATTAATTTTTGTTTTTTCGTTATTTTGTGTAAATAAATATTTAAAAATTATTATTCATTGTCTTGAATTAAAATTAATGGTATTACATTTAAGTTAATAGTTCAAATAACACGTTACAAATAAGGTAAGATAAAACTACACTCTTTTTAATAACTTTTTACTCAAGTTCATTTTAATTTAGTTGTTGTATTTTCTTGGAAAATATAAAACAGAAAATCTAATTCTCTCAAAGAATAATTACAATTGAAAACATTAGAAATAAATGTGTTTATAGAACAATATTAAATGAAAAAGTTTTGTATATACCCAAGATACAATAAAAAGATAAAAATGAAAATTAAATAAATTTAAAAATATAACAAAAGTATATCTTATTTAAAATAATCAATTAATAAAATAATAAAATCAATTAATTAAGTATTAATAGAAATAGCTTCTATTGTTCCTGCCTCAGGGGAGACTAATCCCGTCCCTTCGTCTTCTTCTTCTAGTAGCTCTACGGAGTATGTTTGGTTGTGATCTCCGCAGTATTCCATGACATCCATCATGTTTTTATTACAAGGTTTTTAATTTCTTTCTCGATGTCAATGTCAATTTTTAATTCTTTAATTAATTTAACACTTGAGTTATTTATTAATCCATTGATTGAGATTACTACTGGAATTATTTTGACATCTTTTATTTTCTCTATTTTCATTAGCCTATTCTTTAATTCTTTATACTTATTTCTTTTCTTCCAATAGGCTCAATTAATATTGTGATCAGCCACAATAGTCATATCAAATAATAGACCAGTTTTGTTCTTTTTATCTAATACATATCTGGTATTTTGTGGTATTGTCCATCACTTTTAGGCATTATTTGTTTGTTCCATATCATTGTAATGTCTTTATATTTGAACATTGTTTCATATGGGGGTTTTTATATTGTTTATTTCCCAGTGTATTTTCTTATTAATCAATATTATAATGCCTATATTGTCATGTTTTTCTATTTGTGATTTATTATGATAAATACAAGATAGTAGAATGTATTTTACTGTAGTTATCTTGTCTTTACAAAGTGTTGCGTATTTTAATATTTCATTTTTCAGTATTTTTGCTTTTCTATACCCACAAAATATTGC